CTACTAAAATGGTACAATGCAACAGAAGGGATGCGGCTTAAATTAGAGCATCTACACATATGAGAAATGGTGAATTTTTGGTTCTCAATTGTTCAAAAAAAATGGGTGTGACATCTATTAGGAATGCGGCTTCTAATACAGATTTTATGGTATAGTATTATTGAAGATGCATTTTTAATAGAGCAAATATGGTATTTCAATAAATATAAATGACATTTCTACTCTCTACAACATCCAATGACACAACAACAACAACAACAAACAACTACGAAACGCCTAACCAAGATTGTACAACATTTTTCATGTCAACAAATGAATCATTCAACAAATCTTATTTGTTCATAAAACATAATTTATACATCACACAATTCCTAATCACTGAATAAATCAGCCACTAGAGTGTAATTCTGTAAAATTGACTAGCATAAACAAAGGGACATATTACCTACTTTTGATTCACATCACCTAATTTCAGTATGTATTAGGCGTTGTTCATCCACAAACTCAAAACACAGGTTTATTATTCTACTTGCAGCACAAAACCTCACAAAACATGATTATGTAAATTCAAATTCACCAAATTTAGGGTTAGGGTTTTTAAAAATGATCACAAAGTTCTACTCCAAGCAACACAATAAAACTTACTAGCAGTAATAGTATGATTTGGTATCAAGTATTTGAACTGCGGACTTGCGCAATAACACTTGTACAAGTTAGAAACACTATAAAGAATGATTTGAAGAAATTATTGAGAAAAATGATTAAAAATATACAGGTAGCATTCTACCCAGATATTAGACAGTTAACTATGCATCTGAGCTAACCTGGTCAGGTGGGATGAAAAAAGAAAATAAATCAGAAACATGAATCATTTTCAAGAAAATTTAAGGTTCTGAAAGTCTGTAAATTATTAAGTTGGCCAATAACACTTTTTTTACCTGGTAGCCAGCTAGAGAAACGTATCAGTCACTGAAAAACTTTGAAAGCAAAACAGAGTCTCATTTTTTGCTAATACAGATAAAATGTTCTTTTAATCTGTTATTTTGAGATGAAGAATAAAATTAATTAAAAGTTGATTGAACTGAAGTCAGTAATATAGATGACTGATAAAATTAAGTCTTACTAGGTCATTTCAAAGCAGCAGATGATGAGTATTAAACACAGATAACCCAACCTGCCATATTATTGATGTCCCTTTTATAAGCATATAAAGGTTATTTTGAGGTGTACTACATTGTAGACTTGGAATGCATCCAACAAGGCCAAGCCATGCAGCTGCAAGAATTTATGCATCAGCTGTTTACCGAGAATGCCATCTTCTCACCCTGAGGACTATAATTTCCTGGTTTCAAAGTCCAAAACTGGAGTTAAAGCCCGGCAAAAAAGACAAGATTGTTATTTGAAGGTAAATTTCAATCAATGAGCACAAACAGTTGCTGAATAATGTCCTCAATAGAGGATACAATGAGCTATTGTAATTATGATTGAGCTAGGCAGCTATTCATAAGAACCCATCAGTTGGCACAAAATATGCCATTATTGAATATGTGGCCATTCATGAAATAAAACGATTTCCATTCATGAAAATCCCTCTACCAAAGCAACTCAAGGTGCATTACTATTGAAATCTTAAAGGCCTAAATATTAGCTAACAGTTTTTGCATAATACAAATAATCATGAACAAATTTCACACAACTTGGACTTTTAAATGCAAATTTAATTTGAAAGCTGGAATGCTGCTCCAAAATCCACAGTCTTGTCAATCAAACGTAATATATTTGGTATATAAATTGCATCAGGTTGTAGTTCTCAATTATTTGGTATATGATGTCTTTTAGCTAGCATGTTATTTTAGTTAATTAAAGCTAATCTGTAATTTCCCTAATTCAAGACGTCGCTAATTTCAAATATACAATAGTATATTCTCACAATGAGATTGTTAAAGGGGAACCGCTCAATCCCATGGATTGCACTAAAGAATCATGGGACACTATTGTTTATGTTGTTTACAATGTTAATCTATCTTTTGTTATCCATTGTTATTTTAATCCAGAAAGTAAATTTGTTGTGAGATTAGACTTAACTGGAAGGTGCCCCTTTAAGCATCTGTTAATTCATATATTGAGTCAAACTCACTAAAATGGCATGAAGCTATATTTCAACGTGTTTTACAGCAAACTGTATAAGCTGTAGTTCTCAATTGATAATATTTTGGTATATATACTGTAATCTGTATCAAGCTGTAATCTTTGGTGCACGACAGGGAAACGAGTGACAATTCTCAATTATCAATATAATAATGGTTTTATCATTAAGGCAGAACATTTAACTAGCACTTCTCAGAAGCTACATTCCTATACAAACTTCAAACTGATGAAAAAGATTATCTGCATTTAAAAAAAATAGCAGGTGTGTGTGTCTAAAAGTGTGTGAATATTTCCTGCATCTTTCCTGTATGTTTGATTAAAACTTAAGCACTACGTGATGGCGATGATGGCTTCATGATAGGGTTCATCCTACCGATGGACTGGATATAATCTTTAAACCCTAAACCATGTGTTACTCAGACCAGATTAACTACCAGTGATTATTAACAGGTAAATATAGCTCACAGCCCTTACTTTGACCTGACACAATACGATTCAATGTGAATGTGTTCTTATTACTGCTCTATGAATTGAGTAAATGATTAAAATCCAGCGCAAGTATGATGTTTTCTTTACTTTTGATTTGTACCATATAAAAAGTAAACAAAACATTATATTTGTGCTGGATTTTAATTAATCTTCCCATCTTTTATATTTCGCAGAATTATAATAAACAAAGGGGGAAAATAGCACTGTTATATCCAAACACTCTTTAATATATGGCTAAAGATCACAAGTAATATATTTTGCAAAAAATTTAAATATTATATAATAAACAATATATAAATAAAATATAATGAAATCATTCATTCATTCATTTTAACATATGGTCACCTTATGAAATTGAGCATATCTACATGTATATCAATTCAATCTCACTCATGACAAATATTCAAAATACTAAATGGATTTAGAATTTATTTTTTTCATAATATGATCTTTTTCTGCTTATATTGATTCAACTACACAGCAACTTTAAGGGTGTACTTGTAATATATCAATCAGTGTCAATTATTGTTAATACCACTGTTCATTTTGGTTCATACATCCAATCGGGATTTAAACAATTGAAAGTAAATTAACATAAGCAACACTTTATTAGCGATATAATTATTTATACAAGTCATAAAAGATGCAAATCAAATACGATGATCTGCCTATAATAATGTTCAACACAGTTTAACTTTGGCATTTTGCCCACCAAAAGGGTACACAAACCCAGCTAGTTTGAATCTAGGCTCATACAACAGCAAACTCCAATTTGTAGAAATTACATCTCATCTCATATTTCCTTCTTATTTGTAACAACTGCACAAATATCTGTGCAAAACGATAAAAAATCTCAATGTTTTTAGGAAACATTCAATCTACTGTGAGTATGGTTATATCACAAACTCTTCTAAATGAGAGCAATTTCAAGTGAAAAAGTGTCCTATCGCACACATACATGTACATGAATAGTATTGTGCTAACTATTACAACTTGAATATGATCAGTGAGCCAGAGTTTGAAAAAAATGACAATACTTTTTACATTTAAAAGTCTTGTGTTTACTTTTTTCTCTTATAAGAGCCAGTGTAATATAAACATACGATTTTCTCTTAAACGACATCAGTGAACAGTTTTTTTTTTTTTTATTATTTCTAATAGATTATAATAAAATAATATCCAGGTGTACCAAAAATGATAAAATATTCTTTTGTAAAACCGTATTGATCAGTCTTAATATGATACCTATTTCTATATATTCAAAATCCACTGATGAATTTTGGACAATTTAATTTTACCTTACAATATTAGATATTTAGAGTTAATTAATCGTACCATGGTATTCACCTGCAAACAATTGCAGTCTGGTTAAAAACTGGTTTTAGCAAATACACTCAATTTTAGTGTTTGGTATCACACACCCCTCCTACTTCATTTAAATTTCTTTGTTCTATATGTTTATTTTAATTTGATTTTAAGTTGAAGAGGTAGTATTATAACGCCTGTTAACTACATGTGGAGGAACTTCTGACAATAAACTATGAACTTTACTGAGTTACATCAGCTGCAACGATGAACAAAAGCTAGTAAACTTTCTAAATCTAACCTTTGCCATCAAATGGGTTATTTAACCATGTTTAAATAATATGTGAGAAGCTTCTGAATAAATATTAACTAGATGTGACGGATTTTCGCCGACCAACTGATCACAGTAGTAAGTGTCTAGTCACGACAACGTCCAGTAAGCTCAAAACAAAAACAGATGGTTACGATTTTTATTAAAAACATTACAGCTTTGACCAACCAGTCAGCATGTTTTTTTCTGCTGACACAAGAGAAAATGAATGAGATCACTGTCACATCCGTCCCTGCAATATGGCGACGGGACGCCATTGCGCCTGTGTTCACATAAACGTTATTTATACTTAAATTAGCCAAACTTTAAACCAAATATCAATTTGGATAACAGTTATGAAAAATATTTAAAGCGCTGGAAGCATTTGACCGAGTGTATTTCCGTTGAGCGGAAGAGGGGAGGTAGTAATCTCGCAAGTAAACAATGGGCAGTGTGATTTTCAATCGTGAAGGTCCACTGAACATGAAGTGCTTCAAATTCAACGACCGATAGCGTCAACGTCAATCGCATGAAAAATGAAATATTTACACATGCTGTCGGGAAATGACAAAATCTGAGATGTTCAATTTTTCAGTGGACGAGCATATAGTCCTCTGATACGAGGACAAGTAACTCGACTGTTCGACAGGGTTTCGTCGACATGGCGCCCAACAGCTGCAATGCTTGCCACATTTTCGCCATTTCACGATCGCCTGAATAGTCTATTTTAATAAATTGTGACACTTACCTTTTATTGTGGATGGCAGACATGATGTTTAACGTCTAATACTGATATAATATCCAAAAATCTCTCTGTATGAGAATGATAAAAGCCTTGTTAGTTTTCGTTAGAACCCTATATAGGGTTCGAACAGGTTATTTTACATCTTCGGAATCCAATCAGGCTGACACTTTTTCCACGGCGCCTTTCCCGGCGTTATTTCACAATAATCCGCACAATTTGCAACGTTTGTCTACTGAGTCAGACCCACAGAATTAGAAACAAGATATAGTAGGTAGAACCAGTCCGATGTCAGGAGAAAAACACGTGAATTTCCCTGTGAGTGTGAGTTGTCTTCAGATGCGAAGTCGTCAACCATTGGAACTGGACAACATTCGTACACGGAGTTGACCGGATTTGAAACACCAACACCGTCTTCTGCAGGTCAATTCGATAGATTTTTAGTCAGTTAAAAAGAATCCCAACACCACCCGATTAAAATCCAAGAGTTCGTGAAGATAAAATGCTAAAAATTGGCTTCGAAAGCAGACGTCCTAGAGAAAATCAGAGACATTTGGAGAATGGAAACCTCTACTGAGTTCAACACAATTCATTTGCATAAATTATGATAATTTGGCAACATTGTTTAACTCAACTTTGAGAGATATTCAGCAAGATTATTGACGGAAATTTCACGAGATGAAAACCCACCAAGTAACACAAATCATCAATAGAAATGGGGAATAACAAATTACAATTTAATTCTAACCGTTAAACTACAATTTGGCGGCGCTCTACATGACAGTGCTGAGTACTGTCGAAACTGCGACCTCAACAACATAATAAACAGTCTACTTCGTATTGGACTAATGTAATATACGCGGGGTGTTTGTCTGATTACATATGCCATGAAGATAACACTGACATCGTGCATATATATATTTATACATATATATTTTCATCTTACTTTGTTACTATAAAATAAAATAAAACCCACATATGGCTCGTGAAACTGCGATAAAGAACCACACCAGGTATATAGAATTAAAAACACCCCCTAAAAATAGTGGTATGTCCAAACATGCACTTTGACCCATTGAACCGATGGGTTCAATTTTTCAGTTTAAACATTTTTTTTTCTCTTTTTTTTTCGAAAGAGTGGGTTGGACTGCTTCGGTGAAGACGTCAGAAAGCGCCCCACATAATGAACTACGTCAACAAATCATTGTTAGTCATTGGAAGGCTGTTGTTTGTGATATTATTTTAAAGCAATATTTTAGTGATATCAGAGGTACACGTACCTCTATACTAGTATATAGTGAACGCACAAGTTGTTCCAAGACGTAGGTACTCAATAAAAGTAAAAAAAAAATACATATTGTGTGAGTGGGTAAGTTCTGACACAGATGAAAATACCCAAATAAATTGTACTCGGGGTCAATAGAATGTTGACTTTAAAAACAAATAGGAGGTTACCAGCATATTTTTTGAAGCGAGCGATGGTTGTATTTTAGTGATAAAAAGGGGATTTTAAAAGGTATCAAAAGTGATTTTTTTTTAAATTGTTATAAAAATCAGGATTAAAAAAAAATAATATGAATTTTATCAAAATAAGGTGTATATTATTTGTAACACTTGAGTATGCAGTCACATCCACCCATGGTACCTACCTATTAAGACGGGTGTACGTAATACCAACAATTACACGTTGAATGTACTGTGTATGACTGCATTGTCGTACCGCAGACTTTGATTTCAACACAGATAAGGAGTATATATATATTTTATCATGTGTGGCTGCGTTGCCATACCGCAGACTTTGATTACAAGCACAGTTAAGGAGTATTTAAATATTTTCTCACACTTCTTAGACTTGGCTGTGATCTTTAACCGTGCATTGTTTGCCGAATGAATTCTTTTACAATTACATGTAGTTCAAAAAGACAGTTGACCGAGTCTTCTGTCAACTTGTGAAAAGTTCCAGGGCAATGCTTAATAATATTTGTCATTAGTTGTTAGAAAATTAAAAAAATTAGTTTTCACATTGTAAGGAAATCGGAAAGTTCGAATTTTATCTCTTTATGGGCTGCACATTATTCGATATAAACTTTCACTCACCTAAATATCAATAGTTCGTACAGTTTGAACACACCACGCACTTGGGATGGGGCTGCTTTGGTGTTACTAAAAATGTTGGCTGATGTGGAGTTTGGAGGTACTGTGATGTTATTACAGGGTGGGTGCCGTGAGGGGTGCTGTGGCATTACTGTGGGTGCTATATTTTACGTAGGTACTGTGGTGTTACTGTGGATTTGGGACTCGGATACTGTGATGTACTGTGGTGTTACTATGGATTTGGGATACTGTGATGTTACAGGGCGGGTGCTGTGGTGTTACTGTGGGTGCTGTATTTTTACGTAGGTACTGTGGTGTTACTAGGGTTTGGGGATACTGTGGTGTTACAGGGCGGGGGTACTGTGGTGTTACAGGACGGGGTACTGTGGTGTACTAGGGA